TTCCCCCCCCCCCCCCGACCTTCTTATTTTATTGTTCCTGAAGATTGGTTTCCCCTTTTGCCCCTGCTCATGTGGGACGTTGGCTATATGCCTCCAGACGTCGAGTAATGCAATCCACGAGGGGTCTCGAGGCCGCTATTGCAACGCGTCCAAAGATGTAAACTATATTGGCATACCGGTTTATGATAGCATAAAAGAGCAATGACGCAGGAATGAAGTTGTAGAATGGTAGATGGCGTGAGTAACCTGATTCCAGAGTGATATGATGCTCCCTGGTTTTTGAAGAGTTATGCTACTTGTTGGATTTCAAAAGTTTTCAGCTCCAGCCACCGGTGCTTCTCTTATTTTTTTTCTCATCCAGGTGTCGAGATCGTAAAATTTATGTCCCAACATGGTACTTAAACCTCGTACATCTCTCCAAGTTTGACACAGTACCATTACAAATGTTCCACGATTACTTGCAACTTTTGCCGGAGGTGACTCTCCTACGCCTCCCGGAAGTGATCGATACTGCAAGTTGAGTTTGGAGATTGAACGCTGGGGGATGGTGCATACTGCCAGATCGAGCGTGTTATGGAATGACACTGGAATGGGCTGATCCTGTGGAAAATTCATTCAGCTCGCCTCTACCTTTGGTTGTAATAAAGTCAACAGGAAGATGTATGCTTCATAAGATTCTATGGGGGCATTCAATGGGGGTTTTGTTGGGTACACGCTGGCCAGTTATGTTACAATATGTATCACGTGCGGCCCGCTGATTCGCATTAACATATAACCAGTCTTAACGAGAACCAGGGGCACACCTCGAGGGACAGGAGAGAGAGAGAGAGAAAGAGAGAGAGAGCGCAGAACAACGTGGGCAGCGAGCGAGTGAAAGATACGGGGATACGACAATCATGAGTCTCTGTACTCTTCAGCTCTCGTTGTTGTACATTCTTTATATTTATCTAATTTTTATTTGTCGGTGGTTAATTTGAAACGACGGAACCGGTTGCAGTTGGTGAACATTCCTTTTCGTTGAAAATAGGGGGAGAGGACAAATGGAATCTCAGGGCTTTTTTTGGGGAATCAATTTGAATGATGCTGAGGTAAATGTTTAATATATTTTAATAATTTTGATAGTTCTAGGAGGCCTTTGAGAGTGAAATATCATTGGAGTAATTATTTTAGTTAATGAGGAAAGTTATAGATGGCAGGAAACAGTGATGGCCCGGCAATTGAAAGAGAAAAAACCTCAGTGGTCAGATCCTTGATGCAGCAGTTAGACTTGTGGATACGTCTAGGTTATGGTCGAACTATTGTTAATGGGTCAGTCGTCATCTAGATGTGGCGTTAAGCCTAACTGCTACATAAAGGCTGCAGCCGCTTAGAATTTTTTCAATTTTATCGATCGACACGAATCGAATTTTTCAAAAAATATCCGAATGTTCTAGAAAATCCGAGAATTTTCTCAAATTTTCTGTAAACCCGGAGTAACTTTTCACGTTTACCGATGGTTATTCAGCAGAAAATCATAATTATGATTCATTTAATTATGGCTTCACATTCTGATATCCGAACCGAAACCCCCGGCTTTCAACCAATAATTAAAAAAAGAATGGTAAATTTTCGTTGAAAATTCCCCGACTCTTCTCTCTATGTATGCTCTAAACACTGTTCATTACCCATCACATTCTAAAATCAGAAATGAATCTCCTGGCCACAATGTAATTAGCTACCTTCAAAATCCTCCAGGATTTTCCTCTCTGAAAATACCAGCTAATCCCCCGGTGATGTAAATTCCCATGCGTAAACTTTGCCATTTGTGTAAACCACGGAAGTGAGAGTAATTGGAACTCACGTCGGTTAGATTGCTTCAGGTTGGGGCTCATCTATCTCCCGTTTATGCATAAACTCATGTGTTTCAACTCCACTGCATAGAATACCCCAGTGGTTGGTTCAACAGTACAAAAGATTAAAAAAAAAAAAAAATAAACAAGTGGAGTCATCATCTCCGGGCGCTCACTGCCGGAGATATTTCACCTGAGAGACTGTTTCTTGTACCATCAAGACACGTGAAACAATCATCACGAGGGCTTCAATTCCCATTTCTTGAAACAATTTTAAACGTTCTTTTTGCCGCTGAGAACGAGCACTCGGCTTTTAGGGGAAGATTAATTATTTCACTGGGCGATTACTCTCCACGTTCTCTTCTTTTCCAAAAACCAGGCTGAAACTTGCATACCATTTAAGCATACCAGAAATTTTTAACGCAAGAACACCGATTCCCCGTTTCTTTCATTTATTTTTCCCTCCCTCTGTTTTTTTTAATCGTATCCTGTTGAACTTTCGCCAGGTTCTACGTTTTGTCTGGACATATCTCATTGTCTTTTCCAACCCACTGGTGGTGTAGTTTTTTGTCATCCAGTACAACGGAAATGGGGCCATGGAATTTCGGGGCCAAAGCAAACGTGGTGAATGCAGACGAGTATCCTTGGAAAACCAGTAAGTTACAGCATATAAAGCATGAAAACTATGCCCCCTTGTGTCCACAAAATGAGCAATGAAGTGCCCATATTTTCTCATCGAGCGGCAATCTTCCAGGGGAAATAAATTACTAAACCGCTCCCATCGAGATCATCAAAGGACCATTTCAATCCGATAAATATCAGCCTCAATCTCCATGATTATTTCCCAAGATTTAAACCGACTGAATATCCTCCGTTGAAGGAAGAATAACTATCTACCCCGCAAAAAGTCCTTTTTAAAGCTGGAGTTAACGCGAGAGAGTCTGTTATTTTTACCTCCATTTTTCCTCAGCTACCTTTTTTTTTCATCTGGCAAGCGTGAAAGGTAGAGGGAAAAAATTCACCGGACTATTCCAGTGGAAGTACAAGAAAATTAAACGCTGCGCATGGACGTATGTACTCAATCTCCTCTACATAACATTGAGTTACTCTACAGTGAATGTCTACTTGCGTTTGAAAATACTCGAAGCCAGTCATCCATAGTGCTGTATTTCTCTATAACCACGAGAAGAAGTAAAGATGCAGGAAGAAAGAATAGTTGTGGTATCCTTAGGGCAGTCTGGTTTCTGAGATTACGATCATAACGAAAAAGCTTCTCTCATTTTAACGCCCGGCCATCGGTCTACCCGACCTAGGAGCCTGTTGTGCACCAGAGAGCGATGTCCTTCGCCAGAAAGAGGAAGCAAAAGTAAAGACGAGAAAAGTTGAGAGGGAATGTCTGGTAGATGGAGTATATGAGACATCAGAAGAGAGCAATGCCGCACACTGTTGCCACTGCGACTGAGGCATGCATTATGGAACGGGCGTGCAGCGATTCTGCTGGAAAAATTGCGGACACGCGAGATGAACGCGATCTGCAGTCTGACTACCAACGTTACGACCTACTCGCCCTTCTTTCTTCACTTTTTTCCATCATTCCTCCCTGTGTACTCCTAACCTACCACTTGGTACTAAGCCACGGGTTACTCCGTCCCACCTCTCGAGTTTCCAACGACAGCCAGGCGACTAGAGAAATATGATCAAAGAAGGAAAAAAAAATGAAAGAGGATGAAATGGAAAAAAGGACAATAGAGCGGATTGCTTTCCAGCATCTCCGTGTCTTCACTGAGTGTGGTTTCAATTTTGTTATAAGAAAATTCAGATATTCCGGAGATATTCCCCCCGGTACGGATACCTTTATTTCTCCTGCAGTGAATCCAACTTCAGTCGCAAATCCAATCGATCAGCGGTTGCATTTATAAAGGGGGAATAAGAAGGAGAATGTTTTATGTACAAATCCGAGATTGGTTTGTGCAACAGAGTATTCAATACTGGAGTGAGGATTTATTCGGGGATTATGATGAAGCGGAGTGTCGTTGAAAAAAAAGAAAGAATTGAAGAGAGTGCGTAATGACAGGGCGCTGGAAGATCTCAATCTCTGTATCGGGATTGATAACTAGCCGATTCACTGATCGAAACTGGACACCCGTTACTTAGTAACTCAAGTACTATCATTACAGGCTTCTTTTCGGAGTTCAGCTTCTGCCGTCATTATAATATTCGTAACCGGTAGTCGACGGTAGCGCGTAGAAGGCAAGCATCGAAAATTCCTCAAGTGCCTTTTGCGAAATAACATGAGCAACTAATTTCGCGAGTTTTATTAATTTCATTACTTCGTCTTTTTGGCGGAGGACTTTACCAAGGGCTATACGTGCTCAACGGGTCCACAGCCAAGCCCATAATTCAGATCGGCGGGGGGAAGAAGCTCCAGAGAAGGATCTCGAGGCTGGGTCAAGAACGTACTCCATCCTCAACGAAAGCCAGTTGAATTTTCGTTGGTTTCGCTGGCACATGTGTATTCAAACTTTCGTGACATTTCGTCACGTATTTCAAAAGCAGAGTACTCACCTGAAGATGAACCTGGCCGTTGTTATCGACCCAACCGATGACCATGTCTGCACCAACATACCTGTCGTCTCTCGTGAAACCAAGACCCACGTATCCCTGGGTCTTAACTTGTACCTCGAATACAATGTCTTTCTCTCCCGGTGTCCAGAGTACCAGGAAGTTGTTGTCCAACACAGCGCTATTCTTCCACTCGAGGGACGTGACAACGTTCACAAGAGGTAGGAGGGCCAAAATGAGACGGTATCCCACAAAGGCATTCATTTTGCTGGTTAGCTTTTATGTTACACACTCAGCATCTGCAACAGAAACGGATTGAATTTAGTGAAATTGAATGAAATTTTGGAGGAGTGAAAAATCAAGTCTGGGGTCACATGCTGGAAATCTAATTTCCAAGAAACTTTTCCTTTTGCTCATTATGTGGTTGGGGTTTGCGGTGGGAAAAGGGGATTTTGCGGGAAAATGTTGCCTTGATTGGTAATTCAGTTTCACGTGGAATACACTAGAAAGACTATAGTGTTGCATGGAAGGAGTCAATCATTTTTTCAATGATAATTTGGATTACGTTAAAAATGACGGTGAATAATTCCGCAGAATAATATTTGAAGGTTTTGTGCTCCCAATTCATTTAGAACTCCAGTAAATTGGAAGTAAACGGATAAGTCACCGTCTTACGGTTCCATGTCTTAATAGGATTAATGTCTTGTCTATCAAACGTCTCATTCCAAAACATTAAAAATTTCAGTCATCACGAAGTTACAGATATTTTTATCTGTAATGTCTTGAATTGAGACGCCTTGAAGACACTAGTCTTCACAATATAATGAACTCATTTCTCATTTTTACCACTTTAGAGAAAATGATGAACCATAAAATAATGATTTTTCACATCCCTAAATAAGTGATCAACTTAAAGATGATGACCTCGCGTGCTGAGGATATTATATCCCCTACAACCTTCAACCATGTACCGAGAGTAACCAGAGTATCCGGCAATCTGGGTAGCAATCGATTCAATTAACAGTAATGGCGGTGTAATGCTGGAAGAGGCAGAAGTGGAAATAGAGAGGGATTTTGATGCATTGATGGTCGCAACTGTCGAGTTGAAATTGTCGGACCGTGATGCCAGAGGCGTCAACTAGAAAATCAGAGGGAGATAGGAAGGGTTTGAAGCGCGTGATAAAGAGACGAGGCGCAAGTTTGGCAAAGATCAAACGTTTCAGAAGGGGGGGAAAGGGGGTACAAAGATGGCGCTGGTTAACGCCAAGAGAATGAGGGGATTTGATTTGTGGGGTGTCGATTCAGTCGATTGCTTCCAAATTGCGTTCTCAACAGACTGATGGAATTTCGAGTGTTTTATCTCTCCATTTTATTTGACCATCTCTCCATCCTGATGACCCAATTTTTCCCTGAATTACAACTGCCTGTCTGCTTGTAATGATTCAATTAAGCTAAAGTCCATTCAACCTGACTCTATCCTGAAATTAAATTGGAATGGAAAAATAATCGGAGTCCGGAAATCAAGCCGTCGTAGGTGAGGAGAGACGACTTGCGGGTTGAGAACGTGATGACCAGAAATGTCGAATCAAAGCCGTAGATCGGTGTGAGAAGTTCGCGCGTCCAGCGATTGGACGTACCCGAGGATTTAGAAAAGGGATCGTTAGTAGATGACGTGACAACGTGGAAGATGCTAGTCCTCCACCGAGACACTGGCCACGTCAATTAGGAACAAAGACTCTTACCCTCGTGCAAAAGCGAAGGAGACTTATATCCCTCCGTGGATTTAGCTTCTTCACATCTTCCATTTCCCCGTAAAGTTTTCCTGGCATTCGAAAATGGAGTGACAAGGAGAGCCCGAGAGAAAGAGGTTAACGAACAAATATCACTGGGCACCGTAGGATTGACGCTAATCGGCAGAGTTATCCATCAGTTTGAACGACTATCTGTCGAATTGAAGGAGAAAAACGAGGGGTGGTAGGAGGGAAAAAGGTTCACTTGTTGAGAAGTTCAGTGGGACCAATTAACAATCCAGACATTGAGGATTGGCGTGGCACAATTCTAAGTGTCTCCTCGACTCCCTCACCAGGTACACCTTGATTGGCTGAGGAGTGACGTAATGGACAACGGATGAGGTACTCAACAAAAGATTAATGAGTCGGGGAGGGGCTTTTGTCTCTCAACAATGTATTCTTCAATTTCTCCGAGTTGTCCATCAAATTTTCGTACATCTTGACTTTTATTATAGACATTTTCCAAGCCTCAATCCTCTTTTCAGTTCACTTCAGTGCACACTGGGCGCTCCGCCAGCCCTTACCGTAAACTCTCAACGACCCAGTTTTGCGGTTTTCGACCGTTTCTAAAATGACCGGCTGTACAACTTCCAGCCTTCTGCCTCTTGTTCTCCCTCCGCGCCCGCCAAACGTTCGCAATCACAGTATTCATAATGCCAACGAGTTGGTGCAGTGTCAGAAGAAGAACGTGGAGAGAAAAAAAAATGGGGATGAAATTCAACGTCTCTCCGGGGCAACTCCATGGTGGACCGCGAAAAGACGATGTACGAGGAAAGTAATGTAGCCTCCTCTCTTCTTCGGTCAGAGTTGTGAGAAAGATAAACTTGAAAAGTTAAAAGTGACTTTTTCCCGGTGAAGAAGAAGAAGAAGAAGAGTGAAAATGCTCAGCGGATCGCGGAAGCCTCGCAAACGAAGCGAGTGGAGGGGAAAAAGAAGACGAAGAAGTTGGGCATCGAGAAGGTATATGCGAGAGAGCAAGCTATCAGAGAGAAGAATACCGTTGGTGTGCAGTTTATTTGGCAGCCCGGACTAGAAGAGGCGGGAAATATTCAAAAATACCCGTTGGAGGGGTAAAAAAGAAATAAATAGAGGCGTTTGGTGGAAGTGAGGCAGGAGCCAAGCTTCGCACCGTTTGGTTAAATTTATTCGTTCACGGGCTCTCGCTCTACTGGAGTCGTTATTTATGATTAATTTCCATTTTACGGACAGTGGTTGAAATATTGCGAATACATTGCGATAAATTTATTTCCACCTCTACCCAAAAGGTACAGCAGAATGAAAAATCATATGTCGTATCGGTATAAAACTGAGATATTAAGACAACAAAATTATTTATCACCAGCTGTTAAACTGTTTTACCGGTTGAATTACTCACTGGAGTTATGCCTAATTATCCCTCAATGGAACACAACATGACGGTGGGAGAAGTAAAATTAGTGCATAATGAAGGCATCTATGCGAGAGTTACTGGGTACCAACTACTACGCTTTTATCGGGTATGCATAATAGGTTATTTAGCTCTGCTATTCGTGAGGTAATTTAAACTATTATCTGTAGCAGCCACTGTATGCTGGTGCATATAGTTTAAACCGTACAGATGTGCAACCACAGTGGATCTCTGTGTGTGATGAAAAACTTTTTTTCACCACTGACTCTTCTCCCATTCCTCGTGGAAGCTTTCACTGGTGTATTCATGATATCACGTGTGCATACCGCATTTTGAATTGACTCAGGAGTGGTGGCTCAAGTAGCTGGAATAAATTGATGGTAAATTGCCAGGGTACTTGATATTTTATAATTACTAACTGCTCTAATTATCCTGCGCTCTTCCTATTTTTCTTTTTATGAAGCGCACTGCAGACTTTTTGGACTGCTGTTTTGATGTATCAATTCTGATATAACCCTGTCATTTTAGAAGCAAAGGGACTAGAAATTTAGTATTCAGGAGAACAAAGGAGACCTTATTGTTTCAAAAGCAAAAGATTCTCAAAGAATGCATGCCACAAGGTCTTAACTTGAGACGGCAAAAACGACTGGACGGCAGGGATAGGCAATAATATTAGACTTTGACAATATTAAAAAGGGATTATCTCCTTATATTGTTCAAAGTTTGACTATATTTAACAAATTTAAGATATTATAGAATTTATTAGCTAAATTTTGCGATTGATGGTGAATAAAATATTTGATAATACTGAAATATAATTTTTTAGTTAACAAGCTAATTCTAACTTTAGGTACTTGATTTTCGATTATTTAAATAATCGTCAATCTTCCTACCTAAATTATTGGGTGATAGAATATTTCGAAATCTAAAGGTACAAATTGATGGTTACTTTAATATTTAAAATTTCTAAGATTTATGTTGAAAATGGACAACTTTACAATTTAACGGGAATTATCATATGTCTACCACTGCTTGACTGCGCTCTTCTTTCTACAACGCGAACAGCAGACTTTTTGGACTGTTGCTTTGATCTATTAATTCTGATATATAACATTGATGACTGTTGAAAAAAATTAATAAAGTATTTGGAAAAACAAAGAAGACATCCTAATTTCAAAACAAAAAACCCTCGATGAATGCATATCTCAACGCCCTAACTCGAGGCACTAAAAAAGACTTGAATTTCGTGACAGAAACGTCTTAAAAAAGTCAAAAAATGTCTTAATTTCAGTCACTAGATTTTCTCCCGTATAAAAAGGCAGTGGAATAGACAGAGATGAAGTTCCACTTCCCCTCGAAAAATGAGTTGTACCTCGACATTTTTCATTCTCACAACGCGGAGGAAGTTTCCGGGGGCTGGTGATCGTCCCCCACCCGTCATATCCTGATTGTATTCCATACATTACTCGCACTGCGCCAGGATGTTGAATTACCCAGCTATCTTCGAGAAGGGGGTGACCAGGGGACATTCAGCAACGGTCGCATATAATTAAGGCGGTCTTTTGGACACGCCCTCTCCTCTCCCGAATGACCCATTACGCACAGCAACACCACGCATATCACTTACACACTGCTGAGGGGGGGGCCTTGCGAGTGATTCCCCCTCGCGTTCATCAAAATGGCGTCGTTAAAAAGAGCCACCGGATTGGCGCAAGTCACTCAACCGTATTACCCCGACACTTGGTTAACCATTTCTCTTGCATGTGTGTTCGGCTTAATGAAAAAAAAGAGGGCTAGGGCATCAGGAAATTCACCGTGCTTGAGACAAGAGACAGCGAGGAAAGAAAAAAAAAAGTGAGATCGAGAGAGACGAAAGACACCTGCGGGAACGGAAGCAGAACGGGTCGAGCACGCACCCGTGAAGAGAAACGAGAAGGCCATCTGGATTGAGCGTAGGTAACCGCGGTAGCGGATCTGGAGAACAGAATATATATGTACAATCACTCGTCTCCATCGGTCTAGTGTGCGAGAGAATTTTCTGCAGTTGTTTTAACGGAAATCATTACTAAAAGCCATGAGAACGAGACTGCAGCAAAACCCATCAACTCCATTGTCTGATAAC